GCACTCGGAGAAGCTGAGCCAAGAGAATCTCAAGTTTGAGCACAGCCTTGGCAATTTAGCAAGACCCTGTCTCCAAAATAACGGGTTAAGGTTGTAGACGTAGCTCAGCCAGAAGGCCCTGAGTTCAATCCCCAGTAACCACCACCACCACCCACCCACAAATATATACGATTAAAGCATTCACTTGAAGTACTTACCATCTCAAGTACACAGCTGTTCTGTATCTTAGAAGCCAGGACAAACCCCTAATCTTAACTGGGCTCATGCTCTTCACCTGGCCTACTAGGCTTCCATAGACATGAACGAGCTTTTATGGGGTTTCCTGGGAGGCTGGAATTTCCCCCAATTTTCTTTGAGGAGCCTGATCTAGCTGCAATCAACCCTGGGAGGGGCACTGGAGATCTTTAGACGAAGTCCTTCAATGCTCTCCATCTTACCCATCCGGACCACCTTCTTCCTGACTGCTTTAGCTCCACCAGTCTCCCTTCAGCCCTCCCTGTTGGCCTTACCTCAGGGGTGGGGCACTGGCCACAGCTGTTCCTTTGCCGACCTCAGCCCTCCTCAACCCAGACATCTCCAGGGTGAACACCCTCACCTAGCCAATGAGGGCCCCTCTGTCTGCTCTACTGAAAATCCAACCAGTTCTCCAACCTCCCCTGCTTGGGACGCAAGAAAGACTTTCAGGTAACAGATGGTGACTGAAACCTGTGGAGCTATGGATTTAGAAAATTATTCAGCAGAAGATTAAGAAAGAGCAGTTAGGGAACATGCCTGTAATCCCAGCACCTTCAGCAGCTGAGGCAAGAAGACTGCAAATTCTAGCCCAACCTGGACAATTTAGTGATTTAGCAAGACCCTGTCTCAAAATTTAAAAACTGCCCAAACATGTTTGAGGATATGGTGCATACCACCACATCCCAGCACTTGGGAGGCTGAGGCAGGAGGATCACCATAAATTCAAGGCCAGCCTGGATACACAGTGAGCTCAAGCCCAGCCTAAACTGCAAAGTGAGACCCCATCTCAACAAAGAAACAACAAAAAAAATTGTAAATGGCTGGGGATGCAGCTCAGCGCAAAAATCCTCAGTTCAATCCCCAATACCAAAGCAGGGGGAGGTGGGGGAGTAGCTGGGACTACAGAACCAAGAGAGTCTGCAGCCAAAGAACAGTTCACAGGCCCAGTGAGCACAAAGCAGCACGACAGAGGCTGCAGGTGAAACAAGAACATTCCCTGGTTTGACAGCTATCATCAACCTTCACAATGTCTTCTTTTCTCTGTTCTTTTTACAGGCTTTCTCTTTTGGTGACTATAAGAGTCTAGGTGACGGGGAGAAAGGTACTTGATCCTTCCCATAGGCAATAACGAAAAGTTTTAGGAATGACTTGTTAAATTATAGCAGGTGCAGGGTACTAATTTTAAATCTTGCCTTTCCTACATTGGGCACTTGGTCTGTTTCCTCGCTGTCTTATTGCCTTGTATTTCAGATTCTGCATAAATAAGTATGACGTTAACAACTCCAGGAGATAAAGGCTTATTTGCAAACACTAGTTTTGTGGTTTTTTGTTTTTTTTAGACCTGATCTCACTACGCTGCCCAGGCTGCCTGCCAAATTGCAATCCTCCTCCCTCATCCTCCAGGATAGCTATTACAGGCACATGCCACTGTCCCCAGCTTGCAAACAACACTTTTGAATCATAACCCTTCAACAATCTTTCATACTAAAAAGGTATTAACCTTACAGTGCTTCACTGGTGCTGCGCTGCAGCTCGGGACTGGATTGGTAACCTAGCATGCTCAAGGCCCTAGGTTCCCCAATACCAACAAAAAAAAGACCATCTGGATTAAACTCAGCACAGTGGCGCACACCTGATATCTCAACCACACCAGAGGGTGAGGCAGGAGGTTGCAAATTCAAGGCCAGCCTGAGTAACTAATGGAAACTCCATCTCAAAATAAAAATTTAAGGGCTCTATGCTTCCCGTGTTCAAACTCCAGTATTGTATTCAAAAAAACAAAAAACCTCACTGCCCTACAAGAGAGTTGAGGATGTAAGTAGACATGGAATATGGAATCCTTTAAGATTTACTATTTTGCACCGGGTGTGGTGGCACACACCTGTAGTCCCAGCACTGGAGAGGCTGAGGCAGGAGGATGGCCACAAGTTTGAGGCCAGCCGGACTACACAGGCCAAGGCCACCCTGTACTACACAGTGAAACCCTGTCTCTAAAACAAAACAAAACCAAAAAAAAAAAAAAAAAGGATTTATAACTTTGTAAACAGATTTCCTGCAATGAAAGAAGCAGCATGTTTGAGAAAAGGTCATGAGCTGGGGCTGTTCCCCTTACTCCTATTGTATTTCCCATTGCACTTCCCTTTACCAGAGGGGCAGAACAATAAACCTCAAAACCAGGTAAGTCAGGCCAGGGATTTAGCTCAGTGGCACTGCGCCTGCCTCACAAGCACAAGGTCCTGAGTTCGATCCCCAGTACCAAAAAAAAAAAAAACCAGGTAAGTTTGCGGTTTTTCACAAATGAACAAAAAACTCTAAAATCTTCAGGGGAGCTTAAGGTAGCAGATAAAGTACTGCAGCTAAGATAAGACACAGTGCTGCCTTACCCCTGGGATGTTCAAGGCTGCTTGTTACACTTGCTGGAGCCCAAGATTAAGCCTGAAACCCTCAGGCAGTTCTTAGGAAGCCCTTCCCTGAGGTACCTGGTGACTACCTTATGAATGCACCATCCTCCACCTGCACCCACTTGCCCCTGAACTAAAAGCCCATTCAGCTCCCCAGATCCTCAGAAGCTGTGTGGACTATCACCTGATATCAAGCCCACCATGTCACCCATTGTGGGCTTTTGGTACTGATGCATCTGCACTCACTAACTGCCCACACCTCTCTTATTATAGATCCAGCTTCCCTCCTCCAAAATGCAGTTGCTTTCAATCACTGCAGCACACTCCTTGTTATGAGATTTGGATCTGAATAATCTTTCCAGGGATGATCTCACTGTCCTACAAACAAATGAGCAATTTGGAAACGTGAAGCATCACACTGGAAATGGAGTTATTTACTGTTTATTGCTTATAAAATAAATGAGCCTTCAGCACTCCTGGCAATGGAGAAAGCAGGTGCAAGATCACAGAGATATATGCTGATCACAAAAAGGTGGCATCCAAAGAGCTAGGGGAGAGCATTCAGGTGGAAATAACAGCCTGTGTCAATGTCCAGGGGCAGGAAGGGACTTGGTGCACACGGAGTAGATAAGAAACCCTGATCAAGTGCAGTAAGCAAGATGTGAGCCAGGTGAGAGTTGAGAGAGGTGTGGAACCCAGATCTGCAGGGCAGAAAATGTCAACTACACTGTGTGTGCCAGAGGAGCCATTTTGTTTTGTTACAGGAATAACGTGACCTGATTTGTGTGCTTTAAAGGACTTTTCTAACTGCTCAGAGAACAGATGGAGGGTACTGCAAAGCATTCAAGTGAATGATTAGAGCAGCTTAGACTAGAGAGGCGGTCACAAATGGAAATAATGAGGAAGGTGTAGTTTTGTTTTTGAGACAGGGTCTCACTACGTAGCCCAGGCTAACCTCAAACTTCAGCAATCCTCCTGCCTCAGCCTCCTAAGTGCTGAGAATACAGGCATGTGTCGCCACGCCCAGGTCTTCTTGTGATTTTATAAATGACTACAAATTATATGTAATTCTAGACACAAGATTCCAAAGTGGAACCTTGGGGGTCAAACATAGTCTCCAGACACTTTTTAAATTTTGGCTGCTAACGTTCTCTTTTGAAATTTTGAGTTAATTCGATACCTAAAAAGCAGGATGTCTCATTTCTCTTGGAGATCACTAGATCTGGCAAACACTGGCTCTTGCCTCCACAGGGTGTAAGTGATTAATTAGAGCATAGGCTTTCTAGTTTACCGCAACCCCCACACCCAGCACCTTTTACTCATTTGTACCACCTGCTGCAAATATATTTGAGTTGCCCAGTCCTCTAGCCTGGTTCTCTTTAAGGATGTCACAAACCCTTACTCACATAAAAGCATCTCAATTTGAACCTTAAAGCAGACAGGTTCAACTCAACTCACTTTAACACAATTTTGATCAACAGATGGCTTTAGGGTTCATGTGGTTTACCATCCTGTGCCAGGGACCCAAAACCTGAAGATAAATGCACTGGGACAACTACACTCAGGTACCACCAAACCAGAGAAAAATCTGGTTCCACCGCTCAGATTGGCTCATTGTGCACACCAGGGAGCAAGGTAAGTACTGTCAGACTGTAAACTCCCCAAGGACACATACTGTCCCTGTGACATTCCAAGACATGTAAACAGAATCCAACAGCAGCTCAGTAGCTGGCCATCTGTAAGAATTCTTAACCTGACCAATTCCCTTCCACTAGAGGTATAAGGAATTCAAGAGAAGTAGAAATGTCTGTCATTTACACCAAAGGGGGTCTCTAGGGTGCCAGTATTATGTGAGCTACTATTTCACATCTGCACTGTTCAGGGTCTCGGAAACCTCTTCCGTCTCTACTTCCTCCACCCTCATTTTCTCTCACCCCATTTTCATCCCCACCTCACTGGAGAGATACACTGATCAAAACACCATTAACTTCCAATCTATTTTACGCTTCAACGATAAGATGCAAGGAATCTGCAAAGTTCAGGAACCAGAAAATTCACCCATAAATCGATTACCAGCACTCAACACAGTGTCATCTTCGGGACCTTTCCATCTTTTCCACACCAGGTGTGGAACCTGTTCCCCAAGGCTCCTTTGCAGAAAGCGGGTAACACCTCAGTGAGTTCTCCTGAGAGGAGCTGCATGCGCAAATACACACACAGTCCCTGGCACACACTCGGCCTCCGACCAGTGGCAGCCACTGCAGGCATCTGCACCCCGCTCGGCGAGGTGGCCAGGGCCGCCCTGCCCTTCGGGCAGTGAGGGGGGGATGAGGGACGAGGGGTTCGGGGTCCCCGTTCACCCACCTGGAGGCGCACGTTGAGCATCATGGAAGCCACGATATAGAGGTACGGGAAGTTGATGCGCAGCCGCCAGGCCAGGTCGAAGAAGATGAGCAGCGTGCGGGTCAGCCCCTTGCAGAAGACCCCATAAGAGCGGGCGGCGGCCGAGCGCGAGAGCCGGACAGCCAGGCCCGACAGAACTGCCGCCATATAGAGACGATCTCCGTGCCCGCCCTCTCCGCGTCGCCCCGGGCCTCCGCCCCCGGCCGCTGGCCCGCGCTCTGCGAGCTCAGGGAGCGAGGGAGGCGGCGGCGAGGCCGGCGGGCGGGCGGGGAAGCCGAGTCTGCGCATCAGATTCGAGGAAGGTCCTCCTCGAGCCGCGGCCCGCTCCTCAGCTCGGGCGCGCGCCCTGACGTCACAAAAGCCCGCCCCGCGCCTGCGCGGGCCCTAAGCCCCGCCCCCTCCGCATTCCCGCAGGGAAAGTACGCGAGGACGCGCAGAGAAGGCGTGGGAAAGAGACTGGTGCACTATCTCTGGATGCCCCCTACTGGTGAGCCTGAAAATAGGAACAAAGGAAGGAGGGGATCAGAAGCGTGGCCGCAGGACAATGTGAATGTGCTTTGTGCCACTGAATTGTAAGCTTAAAATGGTTACAGTGGTAAACTTTATAGTGTATTTTACTACAATTTCAAAAAACGAAAGGAGGCTTTTGGAGACAATGGGTAATCCATTCTCCCCACGTGGATTGCTTGGGGTCCAAGGAGTTCTTGTTCAGTGTCATTATACATAGTTTAATCTTTTAATAATTATATTAACTAAAACCCTTCATTTAAAAGTAATTACATTTCACAAACTTCTGGTGTTCTGGTATAGGGGTTTTTTAAAAACTTTTTTTAAAGTTTAGTTTATTAGTACATGTGTGTAGCACATACATAATGCTTGCACTCCTTGTGTGGAGTTGATACATGCACATAACACATCTTGATTCCTTTTTTCATCCCCTTTCCGTTCCTTCCCTTCTCCTCCCTCCATCTCTTGATCCCCTTATTTGAGGAAGATTTATCTCCCTACTTCCTATTATCTATCTTTGATTCTGCTCTCAAGGTGCATCCATTTTCCTACAAATGACTCGAGTTTATCTTTATGGCAAAGTAGCTCTCCACTGTGTGTAAATATCACATTTTCTTTGTCCATTCATCTGTTGATGCACATATAGGCCACTTCCAAGTTGCTATAAACATGGGTGTGCATGTGTCACTGTAATTATGATGCATTTAAATCTTTTGGAAAGATACCTATAAGAGGAATCGCTGGATCAAATGGAATTTCTAGTTTTTAAGGAATCTCCATACTGATTTCTGTAATGGTTATAGTAGTTTACATTCCCACCAACAGTGTAAAAGTTTTCCTTCCCCCTCTCGCCCACAGCCTCTCCAGGATTTGTTATTATTTGATTTATTGTTTTATTTCATTTCTTGATGGTGGCTATTCTTTCTGGGGTAAAATGGAATCTCAGGGCTGTTTTGTTTTGGTACCAGGGATCCAACTCAGGACCTTGCCCTTGCAAAGCAGGCGCAGTGCCACTGAGCTAAATCCCGGCCCATCAGCATTGTTTTAATTTGCATCTCTCAAATAGTCAGTGATGTTGAACATTTTATCATGTATTTATTGGCCATTTGTACTTCTTCTGTGGTGTCTATTTCAGTTGCCCATTTTTTGACTGGGTCTTTTAGTTGGAGGGGGGTTTTAGTTCTTTATATATTTTAGATATGACTCCTCTGGGGAATAGCTGGGAAAAAATTTTCCCATTCTTTAGGTTATCTCTTTATTCTGTGGGTCATTTCTTTTGCTATGAAGAAGCTTTTTAATGTAATATGATCCCATTTCTTTTTTCTTTTGGTACCAGGGATAGAACTCAGGACCTTGCACTTGCGATGCAGGAGGTGGAACCACTGAGCTAAACTCCCAGCCTATGATCCCATTTCCTTTTTTTTTTTTTTGTATTAAATTCTTTTATTGGGACATTGTAGGTATACAACACAATTGCATTTCTCATTGGGAATTGTACCTTTACATAATGCATCTGGGTTCTTATTTTTTCCCCATTCCTAGCCCTCCTTTCATGCCCTCCACCCTTCCCTATTTACAAAGACTTTATTTCCATTTTTTCCATTTCTCATCATTTTTCCTT